GCACTTGTACATTTGTAGAATTTAAGTAATAATTTTTAAAATATAGTATCTTAGCACTGATCTGGCAGAGTAGAAGTTCTCTGAAAATTAGTTTGTAGTTTTTACTGGCACTGTCTCTACTCTGGTAGCCAAGACATTTCTCTCCTAGGACTGCTATGTAAAAGTAAATGAGCCAGTAATCCACCTGAGCTAAGGCAGTTATCTCTAGTATTTTATCAACAGATATCTGTGCCCATGCTTTGCTGCATACTCCATGGGAACTGTACAGTGCAGGGTGGTTCAACATCTTGCCCAAGTTCCCAAAGCTATTTAGTGGAAGTGATAGGAAGAGATGCTACAGATTCACACTCTTCTGTCCTCCAGTATATCTTTCCTTTTGGAGTCTGGGTTGGTGCAAGGTACCTGAAAGTCCCCTCACCTGGGTGAATGGTTTGTAGCTGTATGCAATGCTGCTCACATTTCTTAGCCTGAGCTGAGAATATTCTGAATATGTTAATATTTTTCTGTCAGCAATCTTTCTTTTACACCCATTGCTCCCTCATGTTGTGGACATTTTTACTGATTGTTTCCTGTTTTAAGATACTCATGTTTATTGGTTGTAGCCTTATCTTTTCATCAAACTCCAGTATGTTTTTTTTCTGACAGTATATATTCAAGAAGGCTATTACATTTTCACTTCCATGAAAGCCATAGTACTTTCTAAGATTTTTTTTTTCTGATAAGCATCCCCTCAAAAGTCCTAACAGTAAAGGAAATAGTAAAGTAAATTATTTTCAGCAAGTAATTCAGCTGTAGCCTTGTACTTGCTTTTGTCAAAGTCAGAGATTAAACAGAAGCTAGAATTTGCCTTGTGGTCTCATTTTTCTTTATATAGAAGACTCCTAGATTTGTCCCCATGGCAATCTGTATCTAATTCCTGTAAAAGGACAATAAGAGAGAAATAGTAACACTGTCTGTTCTCTTTCTTTCCCTCTTCTTTTTTTCCTTACCATGCAAGAGCACCATTTGTTCACAAAGAAACTGACAATGGTATTAAGCATTATATTTTTCAATGAGAAGGGAAGATGTGGGTTTTTTTAGACTTTGTAAAAAGACTTACATGTTTGGAAATACAGTGCTGATTTTTTCCTTTGCCCTCTAGTAATTCAGTTCAAAGGTGCTCCTTTGGGGAAATTACAGGGAGTTTACAGTGATGGTATCTCAGTTCTTAGGTAAGATATTTTCACCTGCAATTCCCTTAGAGCTGCAGCCTTTGACCTTTGGCTGCATCTGTCAGTGGTGATGTGACAATGACAGAATATTTTGCTAGATTTTGAATGATTCCTGGAGTTCACAAGTTCTGTCCTTAGCAACAAAATGTAATATGACTGAGGTTCATGCCACAGCTTTTTCTGTAGAAAGTATCAGTGAATAAATTTTTCTTTGAGCCCTAAGGGGAAAAAATCCCATTTTCAATTACTGCTAATAATGTATGAGATAATGTATAATAATGATATTCCATTATTAATTTGTATTTACTGAAAAACAAGACAAAACAAGGCTTATAGATATATGTTTCAGGGCAGTTATTTCTTATAAGCATTTTCCTTTATAAAAAAATAAGTCAATTAAATATGCTTAATTTGTGTATCCAGAATTTTTACAGTTCCATGATATTATAGTGCTTTCCTAGGAAACACTGAGGAAAATGTCCTTTTGGCAATTTCGTTATTTCTTTTTCTTTTAAAAAATTTCTAACAACATAATAATTTGATTCATTCAGTTTGATGCAGTCTGATGACATTTCTGTAGTCAGATCTTAAGCCAAGATGGCCCTTGAGCATAATTTCTCTTTTTTTCTAGGAGGACATAAAGAAGGAAAAAAAAAAGAAAAAAGTGGAAAATTCTGAATTTAGTTTAATTGCTGGTTTTTTCTCTTTCTGGTATGCACATGGAGAAAACAAAACCTTAAAAGGAGATGGGGTTCTCAAAAGCAATGCTGATGGGGAAATTATAAAAATCTGAATCTCAAAATGTAGCCATCTTTTATGAGATAGAAAAAGCATCTTTTTCTCTTTGTTTTCCAACATCCATCCTTCCCTAGCAGTAGAGCTCAGTTTTCATTTCACATCTTCAGTTTCCAGACCAAAAAGAAACTTTTATTGCAATCTAGATTAAAGCTTGGGAAACTAGGACTTACTGGGGTAGCCCTTCGCATTACAGGTAAGCATTAGTGTTATTAGTGTGTATGTACATTGCAACAATAAGACAAGTAAGATTGAAGCAACCTTTACCACTAAGTCCAAAACTGAAGTAAATCCATGGTTACTAGTATTCAGCTTATTCAGAAAGATATTAAAATACGTGGAATTTTTATGAAAATTTTCATGACAGGAGATGTTAGGGTTTGACAAGAAATACTCTAGATTCATGCTAAATTTTCAAGAATTATCGTTCTATACATTTCTGGCTGCCCAAATTTTAAGCAAGAACTTTAAACTAGACAGACACAGAAATGGGTTGCTACAATGGCTGAAAAGCGGCAAGCCCATCCCTTCAAAGAAGTTTTTTTAATAGAATCAAAAGGAAAGACCAAGAAGAATGATTTATTCTGTAAGTACATAAGTGGAGAAAACACTAGAGAAGGAGAAGATCTGAAGCTAAAGGACAATGCTAACAAAAGAACAGAGAGATGCTAGAATAAAGAAACAAGAATAAATTCAATCTGAAATTCAGAATATTTCTTTCCTTTAGAGTAGGAAAGGTCTGAAACATCCTTCCAAGTCACGTACCCAGATAGCCATTTCATTAATTTATTAACTGGTTTATATGATGTGAGCGTCTACAATAAAAAAAAAAAAAAAGTCATTGACCCACAAAAGTCTATCCAAGCCTCCATTCCTAATGCATATCTTTCAAAAACCTATGCAATATTGCTTAGCTACCCAGGTAGTTCCCTTCGTAATTTGTTTTAGTGTTTAAGTATATTTCCAGTTAGGAAACTGCATTTTATTCCAGAGTTGAAATGTGCGCAGCCATTCCCCCAATGGACCTTGCTATGCCATTAGCTGCAAGATAAACTTCTGGGCTATTGGTCATCTTTTATGCCCATGACTCCCAGTTACAGTAGTCAAGTCACTGCTTTGCTGCCTATGCAGTGAAGAGAAAAAACACTTTAAACACTGTGCAGCCTCCTGTCTTATTCTCTATATCAGTTGTCTGACTTTCCTTTAAGCTCATTTCTGTAAATTTGGATACAAGACTTTCACTTTTCTGGTCTACAGTGACTAAAGAGTTCTTGCTTCCTATTTGCTATGCTAAGGTATTGCACTGAAAGTTCATGTTGAAGGAGTTTTCCTTTCCGGCTCCGTAAATTCTTCTCTATATCACTTTGTTCCAGAACAGAATCTCTCTCCAGTGAACTGAGCTTATGCTTGTCCAGGAAAATGGACCTTCCACCTGGCTGCATTGAAAATATATACAACACATTTTGCTACCTTTTTATTTACCTAGGCAATACAGAAAATGATATAATAATGGCTTTCTCTTGTCATTGATAAACTTTGAAACTTTGCATCGCATTTGTCATTCAAACTTTGCATCAATTTTATATTACAAGCATGTCTTACCAGCAAAGATTTTATATTATCCCATAGATAACATTACTGGTTAGTGTTTGATCAAGAATCAACTTCCAGCTCCTAACTGCACACTCTAATCCACACCCTATTTTACTTATATGTACCTCGTAGTATACACCTCTCTATGGAAAAAAATTGAAGATCTGTCAATGAACCAGCTTCTGTGCCATCCATGTTGTCCACAGTCAGTTCCATATAAAAGTGGTTTAAATCAAAACACTGTATTACTAAGACAAATATCTTGGGAAAAAATACATAGAGCCCATTTTAACATAGCCATGTTAATCAACTGTACCCCTCATCCTATCAAAATCAGATAAGAACAAGACTCCCATTTCCAACACAGCATGGTGACTAGTGTTAATGAGATTTTTACTTCCAGTTCTTCTTGACAGAACTGTGGATAAACCATTTTGTTATTTTGCATAGAATTAATGTTACAGTAATTTATCTGTAGTTCCCTAGGTAATTTCTTTTGTCCTTTTTAGGTATTTCAACTACATGGGCAGAACTCCAGTCCTTTGGAATGTCCCAGTTTTCTGTATTTCATTTGTACAATGTAAATATAACCAGATGAACTCTGTGTTATCCAGCAAGTTGTTAATTTTTTATTCACAATTGACTTGCTTTGCCTGGCAAAGCAATATCAAATACTGAGCATCTGTTATTATTAGAAACAACAGAAATGTTGCTGTTTGTCATATAAACACTCCATAAATGCCCACTTGTTTGAACCCAAAATAAAATTAATTTCCATCCTGAATATAAAGAATAAATATTTAGGGAGTAGTCTATCCTATTCTCTAATAAATTTAATGTGATAAAACTGGCATAGGTATTCATATTGATGTATCTAAAATTGCGTATACCGATAACCATTTTTACACATATTTTAGTCGGTAAGCATTCCCCATGTCTCTGAATCAATATTATCTGTACAATAGTAGTATGTTTCTAGTACAGTGCTGTTCGTCCTCTCTTCTTTTCCTACCCCCCGTTTCATGAAACAAATTACGATCATTAATATTAGGAACATCCTCAACTCATACTACTCTTTAGGTTCATAGCAGAAGTCTGAAGACATATAGGTTCAACAGCAGACCTTTACATTACAGCTGTTTGTAATACCACCACACTTTGTGTTCTTTTAATTAGTTTATTAACGCATTGGAAAGTTGTTCTTATGAAACTTTATGCTACCTGAATATATTTTGCTTGTTGTGCTAAGTATGAGATGTTTAATCACACTGCACCTCTCTTTCATGCTTACTGATTTGAAGCAAATTATAGCAAAGTTCTTTTGTTGATAAACCAGGTCTGATTTAGGATTCCCTGTTGTTTTCTTTTTCCTGTTCTTCTCACTTTTTTTTTCTTTAACAGGTGATTATCCAGCTCCTCGCGCTGTTCTAACTGGCCACGACCATGAAGTTGTCTGTGTGTCGGTCTGTGCAGAGCTGGGACTTGTTATCAGTGGTGCTAAAGGTCAGAAATGTTTTTATGAATTAAGTCTTAACATTTTTAGAGTCTTTTTTTAGTGGGACTTCTCAAACTTTCCGCACACCACATATACTTTAATCATCCAAAGTAATCTCTACTAAGACGTGTTGTAATTCTGGGGGAATCTGAAGCAGTTTACTCTGAAAATTGGGGACCCCTGGTGGCCTAGTGGTTAGCATGCAGGACTCTCACCTCTGCGACCCAGGTTCGAATCCCAGCCAGTCCCCCGGGCAGATGGAACCCGTTAGCCCTGTAAGGCCATCCATCTATGAGAAGGTCACTCTAAACAAACCTGCGTCCTGAGGACCTCACTGCCATTGTCCAAGCGTGCTTGGCCCCGGCAGATGAACCTTAGGATTAAAGGGTGGGCTCAGTTCAGCGCAGGCTGTGTCTCACCTAAAAAATCCATTGCGCAGGCTGGAAAGGTAAAAAGACCTTTCCCCAAATCTTCGTTCACGAAGAGTGGCCATTATTATTATACTCTGAAAATTGTTACTTACCGTCTGTACTTATGAGTTTAGATACAAAATAAATTGTTCATACCTTCCAACTATCAGTCTTTGCAGCTATTCCCCCAGTTCTGGAAGGTTATTTTATAGAAATGTATGCAATAATTCTAGTGACATCTAGTGATTTTTAAGAAACCTATATATGGAGATGAGTATTTTGGGGAGGTCCAACTCCAAGTTCTCCACTCTGATCTTAAATGAATGGTAGTTTGTAGCACTGACCTCACTTTCCAGGGCAGCAGGATCAGTTTGCTTGGCTTTGGATCTGTGTACATTTTATCCAGTAGGGGGATTTTTTGCAATGACTTCTAAATAATAATGAGCAGCTGCAGGTTTGTTGTTACCTCTCTTAATGTTTTTCAGTCATCTGTTCACACTTTCTCATTGTTATGTATGAAATCCAAAGCACCCAAAAATTTCTAATGCAAGTGTTCAAAATCCTTTCCAAACCTGCAGCAGTCTCCTGTATAACTGGTAATCATTGTAAATAAAGCACCAGCCTCAGTGAGTGTTTGCTTCATCCTTCCTTACTCTGTTTCTCCTTGATTTGTTATATTTCACTTGTTTTACCCATCTTCTCCTCTTCCCCATTAATTCCAAGTCCACTTTTCTCCCCCACTGCTCTCTCTCGTTCAACTTCTTAATTTGTCAAATTGCATGTCTTTTTTCCTTTCCTATTTGCCTCTCCCTCCTCCCCTTTTTCTCTTAGTTTCTTTTGTGCTACCTCATCTCTTCTTCCTTCTTGTTTCCTTTCTATACATTACCCTTGTCCTTCCTTAAGGTTCTTTTTTTAATATATTTTCCTGTCTCATTTCCACTCTACTCCTACATCCACATCTAGTGACTTGCCTTCTCTGTCTACAGTGATGCCCATTTTATTCATCCCCATAGATATCTTTGTACTCCTTTTTCAAAAGTTTGCTACTTCTGAGGGTGAGAAGAAGGTGATACTTGCTCTGCTGGCTTTTGCTCACAGCTGAGCTCCTGGGATATTTTTTTTTATACTGCCTTGGAGCTCAACATTTATTTTCAAAGCTGAGTGTGAAACTTTTCAGTAAAGCCATTTTTAACAGGAAATCCTAATGGGTCATTAACTCTCATGATGGCATACTACATAACAGTCATAGGCAAAGTCAAGACATTTGGGAAAAAAATGTACAGTGATGCTGATCCTAAAATTTTTCTCTTGCAGCACTGCTATTTCTTACCCTTTAAGGCAGCTTCATACACTCTTGCTGCTATAATAGTCTACCTTTTCTTTTTATAAATTATAGTCTATCTTTTTATAAATTTCCTCTTCTTAAAATAGATGGAATCTGTACTCTGTGATCATCTGCTTCATTAAGTATATGATGTTTTGGTAACTTACACATTTTTAGAGGTAAAGGCTGATGGAGAACCAAAGACTTTTAAATCAAATTCAGAATATGCTTGTAATTGATCAAGAGAAATGGAGGCCCAGTCTGTCTCCTGAGGTACTCTTCTCATGTTCTTCCTCTTGAAACTCTAGTCTGTATAAAAAAATGCAGAGAGAAAATAATTATTTTTTTTCTGTTTTCCAAGAGATGCCTTTTTTAAAGCTTCTTCTTCAGTTCTGTTCTTTCCAGTGTTTTCCAGTTTCTTAGGTTGTATCTCATGGTAGAGCTGCATTGCCCTGCCATCCTGCCTGAGTGCAGCCTGTGCTTCCTGGTGGGCAGCTGTTCCTCCGGAACTGGCTGTAGCACTGCAATAACACGCACAGCACTCAAGAACCTGCTGAGGCAGGGAGACAGCAAATATAGGACTCCTCTGAGTAAAATCCTGTGCATCAGGTTGATTTTCGCATGTTCTTACCCAACAAACCCAAAAGAGAGTGGTCAGTCTGTATGTCCTCACAATAGCATCCTAAATCAGATGTGCCTTTTTGTGTCCATGACAACTCAGCTGTGAAGGTATGACACTTTTCTTTGGAAAAATCTAACAAGGTAACTGTTCTAAATGTGGAGGCATCACTTCCTGTAACATTCTGGCACTTTAGTATTTCCAAATCTGAAACTCAACTATTTGAGAAAATAAATTAATTCCATTGCAGTGGTATCCCATGGACACAGTCAATAAGTCAGTGCGCATAAAGACTTCATGCAAACACAGATAAAATCATGTTTTCAGAGGGTTCACAAATGAAGTCACTGATGCTGTGATTCATTCTACCTGGGTAAACCAGCTGCTGTGTGAATTTCAGAGAAGTTAGAAGGGCTTAATGTGGGGTGACTCAGTCTGACAATATGATTTTGCTTTAAGGGTCATAAGCCAGTTGGATAAGGAAGAGATTGCTGTACTACCCAGGAGTATCCTGTGATTCATAAAAGAAAACAATTAGTATTTACTGTGATTCATTATGTTTATCACAGAAGAAACTCTTCTTCTTAGTAAGAATACAGATCTCTCTTTCAAAAGAGCTTTTCTCAAAAATCTTGAAATGGAAATAGCTTAGTTTTGCATCTTAAAATTTTCATTGTAGTTTTCATAGCTGTTTGTTTCTTTCATGAGCAGTAATAAAAATATTAAAATCTCATATTAAAATCTCTCTGGAGTAAATGGAGTTATAGTGTGATCTCCTAAAATCTCTTATAGTCCAAGTATCATTGTAACTGTTGGCTATCAGATGACTCCCTTTGCTAAAACAATTCAGGACTGAAACCTATGCATAATATGTTCATTGGGACAGAGGATCTACAGGAACTGCCACTGTCTGTAGGAAAAATATGCAGTAATACAATCATATGCCCTCTGGGAGTTGCTTCTACTATAGAGCCCCATCTGTTTAATTTGATTGGACAGGCTAAAAAGAGTTCCTGTTGTTGGAGAAAATCAGTAAGACTGAGACTTCTGAATGCTTGGAAACAGGAAAGAGTATTTTAAAAGATGGATCAATAAAAACTACTACCACTTTTAGGCATGTTGTAGCTATTTTCTTGATACGCTAGCTCTTACATTCCTTTCCTGTTGCATGTTTTAAATTCTTTGGGCAAACACTGCAGCTTCTCATATCTATGCAGGACTAATGTGATATAAATGTGTATTATGCATTCCTTTTGTGCACAGAGTATATAGTTTGTATAAGCAGAAAATGTATGATATATTATGTTTTCATGTACAGAAGGTCCTTGCCTAGTACACACAATTACTGGAGATTTGCTGAGAGCCCTGGAAGGAACAGAAAACTGCTTGTATCCTCGCTTAATTTCGGTATCTAGTGAAGGTCACTGCATCATCTACTATGAACGAGGACGGTTCAGCAATTTCAGCATTAATGGCAAACTCTTAGCTCAGATGGAGATCAACGATTCAACTAGGGTAAATCTAAATGCAAACAAACATTTTTTGTGTGTCATCTTTATTTATTAAAATAAATTGAGTTTATGTGCTATATGGTTTAAAGGTAATCATATATGTAAAATTGCTGCCTTCTGGTTAAGTCATTGAAACACATATTCTTTCATCACCATCTCCAAATACAAAAATGCGCTTGAGCTTTTCCGGAATAAATAAGAACAAATAGTTTATGATCCCACACAATTCCTAGAATTTTTGTTTGGAATTAAATTTCAGTGGGAAATATGTCTTTGAAACAAAATGCTCTGAAAAGTCTTCATTCTTCATTTATTAGCCAAGACATGAATTCACACCTTCGGGACTCTGCTCTCTCACTAGCGATTGAAGCAGCATTAAGAATGCAGATCACTGCTCTCTTTTAGATGTTAGTGATGGCACCAAGCATTGTAGAACAAACTATGTTATGTAAAAATGTTGTGTACTGAACTAAAGTATTGGCAGATTCAGCTAAAGAGCTTTTTTGTTATATATCATGTTTAAAAACACACAATTGTTTTATTTATAATGGATTTGAATTTATTTAAAATCCAAAATTTGTTGGTTTGTTTTTTGACGGGGGAGAAAGAGGATTGGAACTCTTTTTCTTGAAATTTAAAGTGGATAAAGCATAAGAGATGCTTATAAGTTGATTTTTTTTTTAATATTGAGACAATATCCATAAAAACTAACTGTGTGCTTGGGATTTGTCTTTTTCTCCTGAAGGCCATCCTCCTGAGCAGTGATGGGCAGAACCTGGTGACAGGAGGAGACAACGGTGTAGTGGAAGTATGGCAGGCTTGTGACTTCAAGCAGCTCTATATTTACCCTGGCTGTGATGCTGGCATAAGAGCTATGGATCTGTCTCATGATCAGAGGTGAATTTACCTTTCATATTTGTATGTAAATGCTAAAATTTCACAAAGTATACATCTTCATGAACTTTAAGTCATGAATTTATTGTATGCAGTCGTTAACAGGATATGTAAAAAAACATTAGTCCTGTTGTTATCTTGTTGATTTATCTGACTCAACACTTCCTCTGCTCCTTGAGTCTCATAATGCAAGCACTTAACATTAGGGTGAGATCTTATATCACTGAAGTCAGTAAGCCAGACACTCAGCCAGCAAGATATGGCTAAAATTGCATTAACTGAAGAATGCAGGAATAGTCAGACTGGATCAGAGTGCAATAGTACCTATTAACCAATGCCTGAAAAAACAATTTAAAAAGTTTGTGGTACCTTTCTGATTTTCAGCCATGTAGAACTTGAGAACTTCTTGGTGTTGCATCTAACTCATTATGTGTAACATTATCAGTGGATTGATCCACGAGGATTGAATGTGGTCATTTCCTTTAACCTTCCTGAGCAATGGAGGTGCGGTGTACAAGCCTAGATTTTTGCAGTACTGCTGTGTCACTGATATGCCCACAGTCAATGTACAAGATACATGCATCTGGTCCCTCAGTCTTCTACTGTGATTATATTGTAAGCCTATATGTTGCATTTATGGTTTTTTGTTTGCATCATGCATCAGTCTTGTATTCCTTATCAATATACAAACTCATGACATGCAAAGAATTCCTAGGATATTAGAAAAATCATACAGTGTTCATTTAAGTTAATTTTTTCTTACACTTTTCAGCTTTCCTATCCATTCTGTAAAGTAACAAAAACACCTTTAAGCAAAATAGGTATCTAATTTACTCAGGTGTGCATAGATGACTTGAAACAATTTTTTTTGCCTCAAACTTACTCTTATTGAAACTAACTTACAGAAAGAAGCCTGTTTGCTTCTAGAGCTTTGCAGTTTATACATACATCATATACTCTGAGTTGTTCAAAGGGATTTATTTACACTGAAAAAAATTTCAGCTAGCCTATTTTCTCCATCCTTTATTGCAATACAAGGCTGGGAAGCCCCATCTGTACAAAATGTTTTAAGGACCTGCTTGGCTTTAATCACATAATTAAGCAGAGAATGGTTTTTGTATGGATTCATAGAAGTGGTGCTAGACACCTTATCCAATATTTAAACTGAGCTACCATAATTAGATATGGGATAACTGAAGAATCACCTCAACTATTGCTACCAAAACAACATAAATCTGGGGCTACATTTCAATATGAAGCTTTTTAGGAGTACTAGGGTGTGATCAGCTTATGATTAAGGCACCAGTTCAGTTGTCTTCGCAGAGGCATCTCATTATGTCTGGGAGGCCCTAGGATATCCAGCTGATCCCAGCTGCAGCCCCATGTGCAAAGAGCTCCACATGTCCTGTGTCCCAGCTGCCAGCCAGCATAGACATGTCAGCCATCCTAGGTCACCTCTAGTATCATGAAATACCTGAAATTATGTAGCTAGGTTCTAAAACATCTGAATGAAAGTGTTTTCACACAGGTGCCTTCTTGTGAGCTAGAGGAATAAGTTTCTGTAATAACAGCGGTGATTTATTTGCTACAGCCTGTGGAATCTAAAAGACAATTAAGCTCATTCTAAAGTACCTGTCCAGTGACCTGTAGAGAGTTGATCTCAGGCTGCACTGAAGGTACTGATTAGGGCCTAATTTGATTGTCTACTCATAGCCAGTTAGTACTGTTTGAGATACCTCAGTGGTCTGAGTGCATGCCTTGGGTGACCATGGCAAAGGACCTAGTGAAGACCCACACCTTTCTGCAGAGGCAACTGGAATCAAGGCAGAACATATGAGAGCATCTCAAATGACATTATTCTGGAAAACCTCTCCTACGAATACAGGCTGAGAGAGTTGAGATTGTTCAGCTTGAAGAAGATCTAACTTTAGGGAAGTGACCTTTCAGTGCTTAAAGGGGGCTTACAAGAAGGAGGGAGAGCAACTTTTTACTTGGGCGGGTAGTGATAAGACAAGGAGGAACAGTTTTAACCTAAAAAAGGAGAGATTTAGACTAGATATTAGGAAGAAGTTCTTAGAGGATGGTGAGACACTGGAACAAATTGCCCAGAGAAGCTGTGCATGCCCCACTCCTGGAAATGTTCAAGTCCAAGTTGGATGGGATCCTGGGCAACCTGGTGTAGTGAGTGGTATCCCTGCCCATGGCAGGGGGGTTGGAACAGGATTCTATGATTCTAAGATTCTTTGATTTTAACTATGTGAAGGTGAGTGAATGGACCTCTCATCTCGCTTGACCAGAATGGCAACATGGAAGTTTGGCTCATATGTCAACACCTAAATGTAGCATCTCCATTGCAAGCTTGGTCATCACCCATGATCTTAATCTTCAGACAGTGTTGCAAAAAGTGCCTTGTTCTTTTAGCTTTTTTACTGTTTATGATAAACTATCCCTCAAGAAGGTAAAGGAGAATTAACATCACCATCTTTGATATCTTTTTCAGAACTCTGATTACTGGCATGGCTTCTGGAAGCATCGTAGCTTTTAACATAGATTTTAACCGGTGGCATTATGAACATCAGAACAGATACTGAAACTGAATGAAGAACTGAAAGCCCAGGTAAAGCTGAGAGCACAAGTGCTGCAATGAAAGGTGTAGTCTCTGGTGGAAAACCACGTCTGCATTGACCTCCGTTGTACATTCCATTACACCCAGCAATAGCTGTACATTGTAGTCAGCAACCATTTTACTTTGTGTGTTTTTTCACAACTGAACACCAGCTGCTGAGAAGCAAGCTTGTATCATGTAAATTATATGAATTAGGAAATGTTTTGGTAATTATTTCATATATCTTTCTTTACTGAGAAAAGGTAGTAGGATGCGCCACAAGAGACTTTTGAAAATTCTGGGGAATCTTGTGTCCAGTTATTTCAATGTTTAGGCTTTGAACCTAACATGCATCCCATCTCCAGCCTCTTTTCAAGCTGAGATTAAAAAAAATATGTTTGATACTTTGTACATCAGATGCACATCTTAACTTTAAAGGGATACTTTTGTAAAAGTAAAACCTTGTATAAAGAACAAAACTGTTTCTTAATTTTATTGTGGAGTTACAACTTGCATGTACTTTAAACCTGATGTCTTGAAGGAACAGGTGCATTCACACAAATCAGACTGGAGATCTGCCTAAGGGTACAGCTTGTTTTAAAGGGTTGAATTTGGGAACAAACAGTAATTTTGACATTTCTACCCACATATGTTTTTCACTTTTTGAATCTAAAGTTTACCCCAACGAAGTGGAGTTCTGCTCATGAAGCATTTGGATGAAAAGCCATCATTTGCCATATTTATACTTTATACAATAAAAATTAATTTCCTCCCTTTTAAATTCAAAAACTAGACAGAAAGGGAGCAAAGAGGGAAGTTCAGTTTAATGCTTTGTAATGCTTAATGACTCCCAATACAGACAAAGTGCTATACTTCTGGATTATTAATATTTGGCCTACAAATCACGGGCAAGAGAGCCCTCATTGATTTTTTACCTAATTTGTCCTCTAAGGACCTGAGCCTTAGTTTCATTGTAAAGGTGACTGAGGTTGTTCTTTTCAGTTCTTCTGAAAATCTCACCTGAAGCCACTCAGATTAAGGCACTTCATCTTTTACAATACTGTAATGATAATTATCAGAATAATTTTCTGCACATTGTACTGATCAAATTACACACCCAGGGGTATATACACTTTAATTCATGTTTCTTCTTTGTATATTTGGTGACTGTATTGTCATAGATGTACATATTGTGTCGGTAGGGCTATGAGGCATGTAACAGGAATGTAATTTTCTCAGAATTTACACTCACTTGCAGTCATTTATTTAAAAAGATAATGGATTCTTTGTATTGGCACTTTGCACCAGAAACATATCATTATTTATCGATGTGATTACTTATTTGTTATTCACCTTGTATTAGTAAGTTTAGCACTAAATTTCCTTCTTCATTGTTGTTTGTATTTAAAAGATTCGGCAATCATGGGGATCAGCGTAATGATTAAGTTATTCATCACCTGTCTGTAAGCAATATCTTGAGTTTGTAGCTTAGAATTGGGAGACTATTGAACATCTGGAGGACAAGTTCATTTCATCTTGAGATCATGGTGAAATATTTTGGATATATAAATTCCTTAAGCTATTGTAACCATGTTTTATTGCAAACATGTAAAATATGCCAGATGTGTGTGAGTTGGAAATCAAAAAGAAAAATAAAATATGCAAAGAATTCAAGGATTGCTTTTCATTTCAATAAACCTTTTGTCAAAACATTCACATTATCATTAGGAATAAACAATTATTTAGGAAATCCTTACTGATATGCCAAGTATATGCCAAAAATTATGCATGTCTGGGTGGTTGTATTTCCTAGGGTCTCAGGAAAAAAGCCGGAGGTTACAGAGTGAGTTTTGCAACTCTTTTTGTCAGTACATGGAGAGAAGCTACTAAAGATACTTTGTTCAGCAGCAGTGAAAAATCAAAGCCTTTAAGGGTTATTTAGGATCCTTGTGAACAGACAATAATCTTATATAATAGACCTTGCAGAGAGCAAAGATCTGATGAGGGCAATTTTGGATATCTCTCATTATCTAATACGATGGATAAATTTAATCTTATTTTGGGCATTGAAAGTTAGATATTTACAGTATCTGCATAGCAAGACAAAACAGATGGGATAAATTGCCTTTTGGAAATGCTGAGGTCCCTGCAAAGATTACAGCAAGTAAGTGGAGATAGATATATGTCTGAAAGTCAGATGTCTAAGTTAAGGTAGCAATAGTAAACCAAATGCTTTCCTCATAAGTAGAAAACTCCCAAAAGTTTTCAAATTCTCGATAGCACAATAGCAACCAACACTTCAATTTGTTGCCCGACTCATTGCCTTTACATTTAGAAGGACTGTTCTTTAAATATTTATCAAAATGAACTAAAGCCAATACTTGAGAACCTTATTAGAATATAGTGTACGTTTGAGCAGATACTATTTATATCAATCAGCTTTTGAATATAGAATAACCTAAATTGATCAATTTTTAGCTGGAGGAGATATGGGGGAGGAGATGGGAAGATTGGTATGTTAACAGTATCATGAGAAACAGTTTATTGATATGTCACAACCTCCATTCTATCATTATGCAAGTATCACCTGTAATTTCATATATTATTCAACAAATTGATTTAAAAATATGCCATTGCAATTAAATGAAAATGGAAATTGCTATTATTTTAATTAATACTGTTGTTTTCATAAAGTCTCTCAGTGTGACGTGAAATACAATTTAGTCACAAATTAGAAGTTTTTGTGCTCAAGCAAACCTTTATATGAGAAATTTGTCATGGGTTACAAGAATAAAAAAAAAAATCCCCCTGTATTGTATTCACAGGTAGGGGTACCCAAACAAGTTGGGCTCATAATAATAGTAGTAATGTAATGTTACTACTACTGCTAATACTACTACTACTAATAATAGTAATAATAATGTGCCAGCTCCATTATGGTTTAAGTTATAAAAATAGAGTTTCCACAAAGGCACAGGGTAAGGAGAATGTATTAATGGGCTTGTATAGTTACATAGACCAACTTGATATCGTTTTTGTGGTGGAACACCCCTGCCACCTTTTACTCTCTGTTTAATTTCTATTTTTTAAGAAAAAAAAATTGTATGATTGGGTCAGGATATTTAAATTCCTTTATTGCATTTGCTGATTTGTGTTAATTACATTAGTATACACCTATCTGTTGCAGGGTCTCTTTTTGTAAACAGACAATATACACATATCTCAATTTACATCATAAATCTTTTCCAAAGCTTCAGCTGCCCATTTCTGTCACACAGTATGTCTAGTCTGACTCACTTTTTTTCTCTATGGAAATTAGAGCTACTGATCCCTGGGCAGTCTCTGAGAACTGCTTGTGGAACATGAAGCAGCTTTGACCAAACCAGTTAAATGCAATTAATCTCTCAGCTAAGGGAGATGCAGCATTAAGGATAAAACTGTGCAACTAAAGTATGCCTACAATGTAAATAGTGCACAGTTATTGGCTGTGTTTCTGCCAGTTCATCCTAGGTTAAGCACTTGACTGTAAGCCATTGCCATACAGGAGAAACAATGCAACAGCTATGAGGTGCATTCCTTGTCCAGATCCTACCACTGTTGGAGAAATGCTGATTTCTCTACATGAGCAATAATAAAATAAAAGCTTCTGCATATTTTCCCCAAGGAAACACTAGTTAGGCTCAATTTACTGGGAGAACTTTGGATAAATAATGATTATGCTGATAGACAATCTTGTGGGTTGTGCCTGTAGAGCTAAAAATGCTGCCTGTGAACAACAGTTGTGGTGAGTGCTTGTTATAATACAGTGCATCAACCCTGCTGACAAGCAAGCAGGATGTTTGAAGCAAGCCTTCTGCTCCCGGGGATAAAAGCATTTGAAGCAGACACAGGGAGTGAAGGGCTGACTTATGACAACAGCAAGAGAACCACCTCCTGATACAAGATGTCTAGTACATATAAATATTTCATTTGGATACTTATAGCTGGAGTTTATGCTCACATTTTTCAAGGATTTAACTGTGGACTGGTTTTATTTAGGCTTAGGTGTGGGTGTGTGAGTGTGTTACTTGCAAACCCTGAAAATGCGTAGACTAAAGTTGGTATTTAAAGAAGGAAAAAAGTACTGGAAGTTTATATGTCTGTTTACAGTTTATAGACTCTCTAACCCCAGTGATTACTTTTGCAACATCTACAGTTAAGTATCAATATCTGAAACTGACAAGAAAAAGAAGTCCTGAGACTGCTTTCTTGTAAAGTTTATAAGCTGTGGCCACAGAATTAATTTACAGAGGAATTTACATAGATGAAAATCTGCCAAACAGCTGAACTTAGTTTACAGGTCCCTCCATGGTGATATCATGCCTAAACCACACAACAGCTCCACATTGTTAGCTAGAAATAAGCTCTCTCTCAGTTGCACCCCATTTGCACAAAAAAGGACCTGGGTAATTAACAGTACCTATGTGCAAAATTTGGAGTCCGGAGTGTTTTTTATTCATGAAAAGATTGGCATAAGGGGTCTTATGTGCTTAAGGGTGCCACAATGCCAAGTCACCTTCAGCCTAGCATTCCTAACATCAAGAAGAAAATATGCTTTTCTGTGTAAAACTAGGTAGAAAAAAAAATCTCTTCTGGTAAGAGAAGACTACAGACAGCTAAAAGCTATCTGCAACAGGAGATTTGGCTTAAAAGTTTCATGTCTGTTTATACTTTGGACAGACTTAGTCTTGGCAAGATGCTGCAATGACCAAGCCCTGTGGCAAAGTTAATTCTTGTATCACAAGTGTGCAAATTTAAGAATGATGCGCTTAGTTTCCCTCACTGTGTAGCAGAACTAGTCCCTGCCAGAAAAGGCAACAGAACAATTGAAAGTGGTCTTTCAGTCCCACTGTACAGCTATGCGTATAAAACCAGTGCCTATGGCTTTTCAGATATATTAGTTTGTACAGAGCTATCAAAAAAGAGATAAAATAGTACCTAGTAGCCAGTGTCCCTGCATTCACATCTTTCCAAATAATAGTAGTAGAAAAAGGACAGTTTCAGTAGGAAGGCAGCAGCACTCTGGAAAGGGGCCAGGGGCTTGGAGAAAAGTTAGAGAGATAGATTTCTCCTACAACAAAACATTGTGTCCATTTCTTCCAAATGGGCCTGAACAGATTGTCCCAGCTCTACCCTGCAATGTCCTTTTTGTATCTCTTTCCTCTACTAAACCCTTCTGTCCCTGTTGTTTTAACTTGCCATGAAGACCGGGCTGTGAGTCATATTTTCTGTTTTCTGCAACTATGTCCTTCCTGTATCCATGACATGCCCCCACTCCCCTCACTGGGCTCCAGAAAGCCCACACAAACCTCTTAATCAAGCTTCTTGATGTCCCCATATGTCTTGCAGGAGGTAAAAGCCTGAAATGAAAGGGTATCCTATCTTCCATCTATCTGTTGGTGCAGAACCAGCGGTCATATGGGAGTATTATTCTCCTAGTAATTAACACAAGTCAGGGCCCTTTTCTGACCTGAAGGTAAATGGCATGACAGCCTCTAGCCATGCTGCCAGACTCCTTAGGATCAGCCATTCACCCATCCTAGCCCATGCACACTGCAGGATGTTGTTTAGACAGTGGTAAGTTAATGGTGTACTAGCTACACCATGCAGATGAGCACAGCACAAAGCCCAAGCCTCCACCTTTCATTGCTCAAGCTGCTAGATGTAGACAAGGCACCTGCAAGGAGCCACTTGTGGGTTCCATGTCCATCAGCGTATCAACCGTATTACAGAGTCATGACAGGTGGTGCTTGGAACTCAGCGAAAACTCTCAGCCACAAGTTTATGCACCTGTTGGAGCACTGCACCCTAAGACCACAGCTACGTAGTCCTAAGCTTTTGGATCACTCACTACAGCTATTGCAATAATGCACTTGAAAGGTGCTCAGCTCATTAAGACCTTTGGGATGCTTAGACCCACATTCCCCTTGTGTGTTGCCTTATGTATACATGTACATGAGCAAATATCAATATTGACCTGAAAGAGCTTCTACTCACTCTGTAGAGGTATATGGTCAAGGCTCCTCCTTTGCTATTCCTCCATGAAGATCATTAAGACCAGCTTCAGATCCATTAAACTGGATACTTTGAAAAGAGGTAATAAGCTCCCATCACCATTGCTATAGCTTCCTCTGTTGTCAGAGGCTTATGCCCTGACTTGATAAGTCCCTCAATGGTAAATTATCTCATGGGAGATGAGCCTGAGAGCCAGACACCTACTGTAGCACTTATGAATGTCAGCTGGAAAGGATTCTGCTGGGGCATAAAACTCCAGACGTAATGAATGAGTATGGATCCTGTGCAGGAGTTGACTATAGATAGCATATTCAAAATATTCCTCGTTCCATGTGGGCCATGATTAGTGTCCCAAAGGGTGCTGATCCTTCTTCATTGACGGATGATCTGGCCAGTACACTAGACAGGAATATCTGCAGTGTTCCATGCCTGTCCATACCATATGTGATAGGGCAACACATACACAACTAGAAAGATTAAGGATCATGGTTTTCTGCAAAATGCAATCTGTTAATTGAGGAAGGGGTGAAAAGCTGGGTTCTGATATACATAAGGATAAAAACTTGAAAAAAAAAATTGCTTGCCTGCAACTTTTCTTCAAGATAACATTGCCTTTAGGG